TTTGCACGTATAGGAGGATTAGGAGGAACTTGACGGAGTAACAAGGGGGAGAAGAAGGGGGGAAATGGTGGGGGAAAGGGAGAGAAGCAAACCATGAGAGACTCTTGAATGATGACAAAAACTGAGGACTGATGGATGTGGGGGGGGAAGGGGAATGGGCATGGAGGAGGGCACTTGTGGGGATGAGCACTGAGTGTTATGTGGAAAGTAATTTGACAATAAACTATTAGGAAAAAAAAGAAAAAAAAAAGAAAAATTCCCCTCCCCCAAAAAAAAGAAATACTAAAGGGGGGCACCTGGGTGGCTCAGTCGGTTAAGCGTTTGGCTTCGGCTCAAGTCATGATATCGTGGATTTTGGGTTCGAGCCCCCTGTTGGGCTCTGTGCTGACAGCTAGCTCAGAGCCTGGAGCCTGTTTCAGATTCTGTATCTCCTCTCTTTGAAACTCCCCTGCTCACGTTGTCTCTCTCTCTCTCTCTCCCAGAAACGAATAAAACATTTAAAAAAATTTTGTAAAACAAATGCTAAAGGAAGACGTTCAGATAGAAATGAAAGAACACTAAAATTAACCTTGAAATTGTATGAAAATATAAATATCTTCAGTAAATGAAAGTACATGACAAATATAAAAATTATTATTATTTTATTATCATTATTATTATTTTGGATTGTAACTCCACATTTTTTCTTTCTCCTTTCTTTTTTTAATTTTAATTTTAATTTAAGAAAAATTTTTTTACAAATAGTTTATTGTCAAATTAGTTTCCATTTTTTTCTTTTTTCTTTTTCTTTTTTCTTTTTTTAAATTTTTTTTTTACAAATAGTTTATTGTCAAATTAGTTTCCTGTAACTCCACATTTTTATTTCCCAGAGGACTTAATAGGTTAAGAGATTAAATAGATTAAAAGATTAAAAAGATTAATAGATTATATTATAAATTTATAATTTATAAAAATTATAAATCTATATTAATAGGTATACAATATGTAAACACATAACTTTAACATAAATAACCAAGTGGGTGGCAGATGGGCCTGTAAAGTAGAATTTCTGTATACAATTGATATTAACTTGACATCAATTAAAAATGGATTTTTATTTTTATGTATTTTTATATGAAAAATTTTAGTATTTCTGTCATTTTACAAAACATCTTTTGTTGACATTCTACAAATAATACCATCCAATAATGTTCCAATACTTTCTTCATGTGAAGATAGTTTATATATATTTTTGACTTCTGTAATAGTTGTTATATCAGGAAGATTTTTCAGAGAAACTTGGTGACCTTCTACCTGAAATATTAGGTCTTCTCGATTTATTTGTTTTTATCCCTCTTCAATGTAAACAATTAGAATTGAAGTGTCATTTGCTGAGATATCAAATTTTTTCAAAGCTTCTGAAATACTGTTATCCGGGGAAAGATTGAAAATAATTTCAGTTGATAGAGTTTTTTTCTTGATTTTTCCCAGTCTGTAGAGATGAACTGCTTTATTTGCTGCCACAAGTATCTGAAATGGATCGACAACCACCTTAGTGTTTATTAATGCATCATCAATAGCACCTTCCATGGCCTTTTTCCTCAGGTCTCCAGCATTTTTGACATCCTTAACAGAAGAGTCACCCCCTGCTGAGTTGTGTCTAGCTTCCCTTACCAAAGGATCGAGGTTGCTGCCTGATTCGCTAGTTGTGCAGGCAGGCAGGCTCTGATGCCGAGGCACAGCTCTCTAGCGGACAAGTGGGAGCAGAATGTCAGGAATTCTTTAGACCAAAAAATTCTTTACTTATGGTGTTAGCAGAACCTCACTCCAACTTAGCCTTTTTAGCTTTCTGATCTTCCCATTTTATGTGTATTTTAGCAGAACACGTGCTCCTCAGCCCTAGTCCTGGGTCTGATGAATCCTCCTTCAGCTGTGCAGCCCTCGAAGGAGAGTGTGAGCTTGTCACTGCGGACTGCGCTCCTGGGCTGGCCCTTTGGCTCCCTGCCCCCAGCCCTCTCGGCCCGACCAGAGAGGACTCAAAAATGGATTTTTAGGGGGCAACTTGGTGGCTCAATCAGTTGAGTGTCCAACTCTTGGTTTCAGCTCAGGTCATGATCCCAGGGTCATGGTATCAAGCCCCATGACAGGCTCCATGCTGAGCCTGGAGCCTGCTTAAGATTCTCTCCCCTCACCTCTCTCCCTCTCCTTCCCTCCCTCCCTCTCTCTCTCTCTCTCTCTCCTCTCTATTTCACTCTACCCCTTCCCCCCCACTTGTGCTCCTCTCTCTCTAAAGTAAAAAAAAATTTTTTTTTAATTAATAGAGGGACACCTATAGGTGGCTCAATCAGTTACGCCTTCAACTCTTGATTTCAGGTCAGGTCATGATCTCATGTTTTAGAATTCAAGCCCAGGTCGGGCTCTGCACTAACAGTGTAGAGGCTGCTTGGGATTCTCTTACTTTCCCTCTCTTTTTGCCTCTCCCCTGCTGACTCTTTTTCTCTCTCTCTCAAAAATAAATAAACTTTAAAAAAAATTTGTTTTTATTTTTTTAGTTTGTGTTTATTTTTGAGAGCGCGAGTGGGGGAGGGGCAGAGAGAGAGGAGACACAGGATCTGAAGTAGGCAATGGGCTTTGAGCTGTCAGCTCAGAGCTGGACGCGAGGCTCAGATTCGTGAATTGCAAGATCATGACCTGAGCTGAAGTTGGACCTTAACCAACTGAGCCACCCAGGCGCCCCTGATGTTTTAAAACTTATAATGCTTATCAAATTTTAAGTTGTCATCATGTCTTTACCACACCTGATGGGAAGCAGAAGCCAGAGTAGTTTGCTTGAACAAAGTTTTAGTTTTCCTCAGCCCAAAAGCCTGCCTCTTTCTGCTCAGACTCTCACTGTGCCAACAGGGGAGTACTTTAGAGGAAAAGCCCATGTGGATCTGGTGCTCACTTTCAGGCTTCCTTTTATTTATTTATTTATTTATTTATTTATTTATTATTTTTTTAGTGTTTTTTTTTTAATTTATTTTTGAGAGAGAGACAGTGTGAGCAAGGGAAAGGCAGAGAGAGAGAGGGAGACACAGAATCTGAAGACAGGCTCCAGGCTCTGAGCTGTCAGCAAGAGCCCGATGCGGGGCTTGAACCCACAAACTGTGAGACTGAGCCACCCACGCGCCCCCAGGCACCCCCAGGCTTCCTTTTAGAGATTGCAGCCCTCAAGTCCTATCCACACCGGACACTCTCTGGTCCTTCAGAGCTGTGTTTATTTTTTTAGTCACTAGTCCAGATTTTATAACTATTCACTGCAAGCCACCCAATGAAAGTTGAATCTTAAATTATTTTGCCCTAAAACATTTTTTAATGTTTATTTTTGAGACAGGGAGAGAGGGAGAAGAAGAGAGAGAGGAAGAGAGAGAATGAATGGGGGGGAGGGGAGAGAGAGAGAAGGAGACACAGAATCTGAAGCAGTCTCAAGGTTCTAGCTGTCAGCACAGAGCCCAATGCAGGGTTCGAACTTGTGAACCACATAATCATGACCTGAGCTGAAGTTTGACATTAACCCACTGAGCCACCAAGTCGCCTCTTGCCCTGAAACATTTTAACCAATGAATATTTTATCTATAGTTTTACATAAGAAACATTGAAATAAGAAATGTAACAGCAAGAATGAGTATTTTCCCAGCCAGACTTCTATGTCATTTCTTGTTTAGAATTATATTAAATCTTTGATGCATTGTCTTGAGTCTATTAAAATATTGCAGTGTTTATATTTTATTTTATTTAAAAAATTTTTAATGTTTTTGTTTATTTCTAAGAGAGAGAGAGAGAGAGCATGAGCAGGGGAGGGTCAGAGAGAGAGGGAGACACAGAATTTGAAGCAGGCTCCAGGCTCTGAGCTGTCAGCACAGAGCCTGATGTGGGGCTCAAACCCTCGAACCGTGAGATCATGACCTGAGCTGAAGTCAGAAGCTTAACAGACTGAGCCACCCAGGTGACCCAGTGTTTATATTTTAAAGGGTTTCTATCAGTCACATGCTTTGTGCCATTTCAGATCCTCTTGGTTCCTCCTGTCCTGTATCATTTCAACAAGCTTTACAGGTACTGGGTTTTCTTTATACAAGTGTAAACTGATTGCTCCCCAGATTTGTCCCTGGGCTCCATGCCTCTCCCTCCTGCCTCTGAGTGTCCGTGCGGATGCTGAGGGGTAAAACGTCCCATGATCCAGCCCACAGAAGCACAGCCATGTTCCTTGTTTGAAGATATGTGCCTTTGTGTTCATAGGAAAACATCAGATATATATCTATTAATGTCCTCAATGTGATTAAAGAAGTTGCATCCATTAAGCTCTATCTATCTATCTATCATCTATCATTCTATCCACATATGTATATATCTACATTATAGATATATATGGATAAGCATTTGTGTATATGTGTATGTATATGCAAAAGTTTAAGTATGTATACATGCATATATGTATATATGTGCATGTGTGTGTATATATATGTACACACACATATATATACACATATATATATGCTGGAGGTTGCTTTGTAGTGCCACCTGATAGCCCTGCCAACAAGACTGTTAAACTCCTATCCTAACTCTATGAAGAAGGTGGAAGGGGAATCCCTGGCACCCACAGTAAAGGATTCCAGGTTAATTTCCACTCCCTAGGTAAAGGCACCATGAACTCAGTCCCACTGAGACTCCATCTACAGGTTCCCCCATCCCTTGCCAGCACAAATGATTTCATGGTCAACTATACCCTTAACACAGTGGAAAAAGATTCCTCTGTTCCCTGGTCCACTGGGTCCCACAGCAGTGCCTTCGTTGGAGAACACTACAATTCTTGGCCCTTGTGCAGTGAACATGGAATGAATGACTTATTGGAATCTCAAGTTTCCACATTTGTAAAGTGGAGTCATAGCAGTTGCTGCCTTGTACGACCTTAATGAGGACTGAATGAAATCATACAAGTGTGCCGGGAGCCGCAGCGGCCTCTCTGGACGGCAGTCACAGCAAGGAAATGGCAATGTCTGTAGCTCCGGCCGTGAGAAAGGAAAACTGGTATCTCCTTCTGCTCGTGTTGTATATAAACCTGCTGTTATTGACCAGGCCTCACTATATTCCATATCAGACCCATATTTTGAATACAGATACCTCATAAGGAAAAGCATATTCCTGCCTTTACAAAAGAAATTTTGGATGAAAGCTCTATGGGGAAAATTGTCAAAAGAATCTTACTATGGGCCTTGCAGATCTGAGACTTAGGGGGTTAGGAACACAAGAATTACAACTGAGCCCGGCCCTGAGACCAAGGGCCTATTTTGGGGTTAAGAGCAAAACATAGTTACCACTTAGACCTTTGCTAATTGGTGACACATAACAGTCCCTTCCTCAAGGCCTACTTTCCACAAACACCCTCCCTTACACTGGCAGCTGGGATGAGGATGGATAACAGTAGCTAAAACATAACCCAGGGGCAAAAGACTGACCGATTCAGGGCCCCCATGTTAGTCTCCACAAACAAACCAATTCAGAAACACTCATCCTCTTGAGGGCCAGACAAAATACTCCTAACTTATCTATATACAATTTGACCTATATGTTATCCTATTTTTCACTAAGAACATTCTGTTATTTCCTTGGTCAGAATAATTCTACTATTGTTATCACAAAAGACTTCCCATTGTAAGAAATTCCTTTCTATGACTTCATCTTGTTGCTGAACCTTTAAATAAAGACACAAAAACCGACAGGACAGAGACGCCTGCCTGGTGATCAGAAAGAATCTCCGGGGCTCTCTCACTCTCTTTCTCTCTATCGCCAACACTGTCCATCCTTCAGGGACCCCTGGACCTGCCGGAGCCAGCTCCAGCCTCCAGCACAAGTTGTGTATCTTGTTTTGAATACTTTTTCACAGCTGGGTTAACCAATTTCTAATTATCAGGAAGGGTTGGAGGATTAATATTGCTCACAAGGAATGAAGAACTTCAACCTTCAGCAGTGGGAGGTGATGGACCCAATGGTGGATTCGTAGCATATCAGGGCTGGAAATGACCCTCAGAAGCAGGAAGACTTGGAGGGATGTCTAGCCTTCCCAAAGTCACTAACAGTGAGCAGGACAGGACACCTGGAAGCAAATCCAGAGTTAAAAGCCCAATCACATGCTGAGTCTCCAGGTAACACCCCAGTTGGCATCATCCCCCTGAGCCAAGGACAAGAGCAGCACTTACTTCCTGCACCATGACACTGTTGTGTGATGATTCAGACCATAGTCTGCAGCTTTCCTCAGGCTCTCTGTGTAACTGGGGTGTTCCCCTCCATGAGGATTCTGTACAACTTAAGGGCCAACATGTGGGACAGCCTGAGGTAGGTCACCATTGAGGGGTTTTGTGACACTGTTAACAAAGGGAAACCTAATGAGGGCTGTGGCCATAAACAGGCCTATTGAAGTCACCCTATGGAATCTGCCTAGTCCGTGGACATCTCTTATTAACAAGTTTACTCCCTGATGACCCTTCACACTTATACTCTCAGTTGTGATTGCTCCTCTGAGCTCCTACCTGGCTGCTGGCTTGTCCTCATCCCCGCCCCACCCCCTTGCCCATGTCAGAGCCATCCACCTGTGGTGTCCCTCATTCTACAGATATATTACTGAGGTGTCCTCATTACTCATGTGACCCTTGCTCAGAGAGGCCCCCCCTACTTCACTAGTTTCCTGGCCCATCACACTGCTCCCCACCTTT